AATGAGAGGAATAACCAATCAGGAGTGAGGGAAATGGACCAATCAGGAGTGAGAGAAGTAACCAATTAGGAGTGAGCTCCATGCAAATGAAGTACTACAAATGGACCAATCAGGAGTTAGCTCAGGGAACCAATAGAATTTTAGGGGTGAGTTTCACTTTCCTAGAAGTAAGCCGTTTTAAAGGCAAAGAGTGAGATCAAGCTGCTGGGCCAGGGAACTGGATGGTGCTGGCAGGAGAGTAGTGGCCTTGCCTGGGGGTCCTGCCGGTCTCTCTCTTTTTTTTTTAATGGGGCTTCCCACCTCAATTCTTCAGATTCATCTGTCTCTGAAATCACTGATTTGGGATTGTCTGAACAGCTGGGATTTGTAGCGACTGCACACCGATGGCTGTGGATGGTCTCAATTATTACTGCTTGGGCATATACAGTTTGGCAGGAAGGTAACTGCACTAGAGTGACAGCCAGGGAGCCTCTTCTGGTGCCTGATCCAGGTACAGAAACCTGAGCTCAAGCAGGGATTGAATTTTGACCAGTCTGAGACTGCATATGATCAGATTCACTCTCTGCTATAGTATCTGTTACACCTGTTACAGAATCTGTTACACAGAATCTGTTCCATCCTTGTGGGATTCAACTTTTTCCATGGTCATTTGACTTTTTTTTTTCTGCCACATTTGCTCATTACTAAGTTATTAGCAATCAATGTTTTGCTCCTTCCCCATTTCCTTTTTCATTCATCCTGCAGGGAAGTGATTTCTGCAGTGGACCTGGTCAGTGATTACAGACTGGAATGGGTGGATATGATGAGCCTGTTGCCCCTTGGGAGCTATGCCGCTGCCCAGCAACTGGGCACAGGTGGCCCCTTGTCGCCTGTCCTCAGTTCTGCTGTGCAGCTGTGCCATCCCACCAAGCCAGGACCTGCAGCAGTCATTCTTATGCTGTTGCCATGCACTAGACATCACCATTATTAACACCTTTGTCTTAATGTTTTTTGTCTCCTGACCAGTAATAGTTCCAGGTATTATCATCATTCTTGTCTCACAATAGACCTTAAACTTACTCCACTGAACACCCTTATACTTATCTCATTTTTAACTTAAACTTAATCCCAAAGTCAGCTTCATGCTGTCTTAAAGTGAACCTTACCCTTTTCCAGGCTGGTGAACTTTGAATCCTAATGCTGATCTACAGATGCTGGGCTTTCTCCCAGGTCAGGTCTCCAGATCAGCTGCTTAACCCTTACTGTTCCTCAATGCCTAAGAACACATAATACCTGCCGGCTGCCTCAAAGGCAGGAAAAGGTTAGGTTACAGAGATGGCACAGGCTTGCTATCAGGACAAGTACTAAATCCCTGAATCACATGATGCTCCAATCAAATATAATTGTCCCAGGAACCATTAGGCTGTGACCCAGAAGCAGACGACCCCTGTACAAGTTGATTTGATGTGGTTTCAAATCAAAAGTAAGACATTCAAATCCTACAAGTCCACTTTAAAGCGTGTACTGTCTACTCCTTGGGGGAGCAAGGTCATCACACCATAAGGTGCGGAGAAGAAGGGGAAACCTTGAATTAATTTTGTTAAGGGAAGACAGAGGACTGTCTGAGGCTTCCCAGATAAAGCTCTGGTAAGCCAAGCCCGTTGGAGGCAATGCAGGTACCCCTTCAAGGAGGCCAATATGACAAGTGGGTTCAGATGACCAACAGCCAAAGGCTTTTGGCAGGGACAAAAGGAGAGTGAGCCATTTTCTTGATGGCAAATCAACTTCTCCATAGAATTGTTATTAGGCAGCTAAACCCAGCAGTGACATACACTTTTACTTTGAACAAATGACTTGTGCTAAAAGGCTTCCTGGCATCACACAGAAAAATTCAACTTTCAGTCCCACCTTTACCGATATGGGTGGCCCCTCCCCTTGTATATGGGTCTTGGGACAGCGATATTAATCCAAGAGCTGGTTGATGCTCTTCATTTCAGGGGCCTTTAGAGAAGTGAGCTGGAATGCAGTGGTGTGGCAAAGTTAAGATAATGCCCTCCAAGAGGAAAAATAGACTCCAGAGCTTGGAGATTCTATTGTTCAGAGCTCAGTGCGTGGAGAAGGAGGTCTGAATGGAACCCGAAGCTGGCCAAGGAAGAAGGACAGAGCAGCCTCAACACTCAGGGAAGGTGCTGCAGACACAACACTGGGAGATGTATTTAACTTCTACAGGTCTTCAGCAGTAGAAGCCGTTGAAGGCTAAGCCTGGAGTTGCATGTAGAGGGGTGGTCTGGTTTCTCTATTTCATGCCTTTAACTTCTCTAGATGCGTGAAATCTGGGTCTGTTTATGTAGAGCTCAGAGCAGAGGCTTTGTTACGACTGAGCAAAACGGTATTTTATTTTGAAAGGGAATATGAAGAAGCAGTAGTTGAAGGGATATAGAGTGTGGTGTGAAGTACAGAGTATTACTTGTCCTGGACGGTCTTACTTCTAGCACGAAAGCACTTCAAAATACAGGCTATGCTGAAAGGTGATGATGGCAGTAGGATATCCAGGAGACGGAAGACCGCGGATGGATGGACTCCACCACGGCCAAGTTGAAAGGAAATTCTGAGCACGGCAGTAAATGGTTGCATGCAATCAACATGGACTACTGATATTGTTTATTTCTAATAAAAATGTAGAGCGATTCTTCAGTGACTCAGTAGTTATGTATCTTTTGAATGTAAACTGGTTCTCTAATATATGAATCTGGTTTCCAGGTAATCCTTGGAGAGAAAATTGTGTTTTTGAAAATCAGTGTATCATCTGGAGAATGTGATGGCTTTCACTCACTCAGAGGAAAGATATATAATGCTTTAACACCTTCAGCTCCTTAAAAATTGTAAACTAAGGCCATGCCAGACCTCTGAGAAGTCCTGTCTGACAATGCAAGCTGGAAAAGGCTAGATAGAGGCTAACTTATACATCACTCTGGTGAGAAAAATCCCCAATCACAGTCGTTACAATTGCAGAATTGGGGGTGGGGGAGCGCTTGGGAAGCTGATTGTTAATGCTAAGGAAAGATTAAGAGATGAGCTGTCTTCCCGTCTGTTCTGTATCTGTCACAAAGGACTAGAAAAGAACAGGGGCTGCCCGAGGCTTAGTGTGAGTTTTGGTTCTTTATAAGAATGTCCAGCCCATACACTGGGTGAGAAATGAGAGAGGGCTGCAGAAAGAAAGATCATACAGTTTCCTGGAGGTGTCCAAGACTGTTTCTCTTCAGAATGTCATGGTGACCACAGGTGCAAGAGGGCAAAGTGTCACATCTCTGCTCCCTGACCTGACAGTGAGCCACCTGGGCACTGATTCACCTGTGTGGTCCCCAGACAACCTAGTCAGCACACTAGGAAACCATCCCTGCTGATTCAGGAAGGCCACTGTTGCAAAAACCTCAAAGTGCCCATCACATTCTCTTGCTGCTTTCAGGATGGACCACTGTGGAATCCCAAGGGAGTGCTTTCTCAGCCTGGCTTGGAGAGGCTGGGTTTCTCGAGGTCCTTTAGTCTCCTGTTTTTACTGCCAGTCTTGATAGCTGAGCAGCTATTCACAATTGCTATATAGCATCCATAAAATGGGTCCAATAAAACTCTTACCAAGGGTACGGGGAGTACAAAATTACAGGGAGGCAGAATGGGGAACAAGGCAGTGTCTCCTCAGTTACTGCCGCTTCACAAACACCAAGGGCACTGCTAAAGATGAAAGTAACTGGGACTCGGACTGAATTATACCACCAGCTTTCCTGGTTCTCCAGTTTGCAGATGGCAGATTATGGGACATGTCAATCTTCATAACTGTATGAGTGAATTCCTGTAATAAATCTAAATCTAATTAAATATATATATAATATATTTATATATATATATAATACATACATATAAAATATATATATAATATATATTAAATATATATAATATATAATATATTAAATATATATAATATACAATATATATATTAAATATATATATTATATATTTTATATATATACACACACGCACACATCCTGTTTCTCTGGAGAATCCTGGCTAATAGAAGCATTATATATAAAAAGTATAGGGGGATGGGTATAGCTCAGTGGTTGAGTGCGTCCTTAGCATGCACGAGGTCCTGGGTTTATTCCCCAGTACTTCCATTAAGAAAAAATTTTTAAAAATAGTTAATTTTTTAAAAAGTATGAAATGTGACTAGAGTAATAGAGGAAAATCCATAGCCTTAAATGCTTTTATCATTAAACAATACTTAAAATACAATATGCTGGGTATTTACTGAAAGCTTACACTGTGTAGGACCTGAACAAAATACACTTCATTTCATCTTCATAGTACTTACGAGGTGGGTACTCTTTTTTGCCTTTCATAATACTCAGGAGGTAGGTATTGTATTTTGCCCTTATCTTTTTGAAATGCTCAGAAGTATAATTAGGCACATCCATACAATGTTGTAACTATGCTATGTTTCCAAGAACTATTTCACATAATTCCTGATTCAACGTCACACATATTTATTAGTGCTTATTATATACAGGACACTATGACAAAGGAATGAATAATAGATATTCTCTACCCTGTAAAATCCAGTCACATGTGTTTATGATGTAGATGAGGGGGAGGATACAGCTCATACTATGATGGCAACTGACCCTACTAGCTCAAACTGACTGCATGAAATGCTAAAACGGATGCATAAACCGAGCACCATGGTTGCAGGGAGTCAAGCGATTCCAACTTAGATTGGGGGCAGGAGTCCACTGTGGTGCTTGTTGCCACTGCTCAGGTAAGCATCTCTAAGTTGTTCCAACAATTAGTTCATGTGACTGAAGCAGGAAGAGCATAGACGTTTCCACTTTATTAAAATATTGCATAGATACAGAGCAGTTGGGCACATCCATTCTAAGGCACTGTTCTGGTTTGAATGCAATTCCACAAGAGAGAAAAGAGAAGCCGTTACATTCGGTAGTTTTCATCTCTACATTCAGACTCTTCCCAAGTTCCATGTTTATTGCTACTGGGATCTCAGTTGTATCCCCCAACTTAAAGCAGCAGCAGACTGGGACCTGGATGACAAAAATTAAAGACACACCCTGGCTCTAGCACTTGATATGATTTGGCACTTAATTACAAACTCTCTTGCGTTGTTCTCCATTTGCTTCCCAACTCTTGTTTAACTAAGCATATGATAAACCCTTTATGAATTAATTTCTTTACTAGTTTCCATTAAGCCTTGAACAGGACTAGTTAGGCACATAGTAGATACCTCCAAAATACTCATCTTAAATATCATTTCCAAGAACTTCAATGGAATAGAAGAAAATATACTTTCCCTAACACTAGTTAAGGGAAGGATGACTGGTATCTTCATAAAAGAAAATACTTGAATGTCCTATTTCTTGTATTTTATAACAGGAACTAGGCTGAATGAATATTTTCATGTATTAACAGTTTTAACTGATAAAGAGAGTTCTTCCCTTGCTATAGGAACTTGAGTCATTACTGCTATTATATGAGAACATTTATATAAGTAGCAACGTGTGTGTGTGAGAGAGAGAGAGATTATAAGTAAAATTCAAAGAGGTTGAGAATCACTGAGCAACTTATAAATATCTGAATTAGTGACCCTCACCTCCTGAAATGATGTGTGTGTTATATAAAAAATATACGTGTGTAAAGAGTTTCTCATAACATCCTTGAAGCAACTGGAGATAACTAGGCTTGGGAACAACAAGACTATATGGATAGTTAGAGAAATATTTGTTAAAGGCAGTGTGGTCCAAAGAATATTTTCAGAATACTAGCTCTGTGGGTTATTACTGGGTATACATGAAAAAGGGTTCTGGGGTCAAACAGGATTGTAAAACACTGAGCCAAAAGAGGTGCTTTTTCCGCCTTTACGGGAGGACCTCTTGGAATTCTCATATGCTGATGAGCACTGTGAGTCTAGAAAGCGGAGACAGCCAGGAGGGACTCCCAAACTTATTGGCAGAACATCTTCTAGAACTAGATGTTCTATGACACACACTTAGGGAGACACTGAATTAAAGAATGAGTAAAATTTAAAAGCACTGAGAGACACACAGTTGAAATAGCAGAGGAGAGTAAAAGGCAATGGACGCTGGTTCCTCAGTCCATCTAAATTAAATGAGATTCTACTTGTATGACTTCAACTGTCAAATGGATTCTTCCACCAGAAGCTGACTCATTCTGGGGACAATATAAATCATCAAATACTCAGCTCTAAGTGGCATCATCCCAGACTGTCAACTAAGGAGACTAGCAAACTTTGCAAAGTTCAAGAGTAAAGATTAAAATTTACATTTCTCGAAAAATAAAATTTTCAAGGGAAAGAACCCAGTACATACCAGGCAAATGGCATCCTCTTCATCCACGTGTTCCTAACACATTTTTATTATTTGACAAAATACACTGTCTCCTTTCTTGCCACTTGGGGCACACATAAAGCTTTGGACTAATTTAATTACCTTTACTAATGACAGCAGAATTATGGCGCTGCTATAATAGATATGTCAGATAGATATGATTATCCATTATATTAATGCTACACTCCAAAGGATTGCCATCAGTTTTATGCTTACATTTATGATATGGTTGGCTTGGTTCACAGAAATGTTCAATGTAATAAGAAAAAAAGAGTTGTAGAGACAGGATAAATCAAATCTAGGAAAGCTGCAAGAGTAGATGGATAGTCTAGAACTTGTATGTCTTGGAAGATGGGTTTTTAAAGTAGGAAAAAAAAAAGCTGTTCCTATAAGCTCAAACAGAAAGATTCTCTGGGGATGGGTATAGCTCAGGGGTAGAGCACGTGGTTAGCATGTGCAAGGTCCTGGGTTCAGTCCCCAGCACCTCCCTTCAAAAAAAAAAAAAAGAAGAAAGATTCTTCCAAGACAAACAGGCTGCTGCAGGTTTAAGATTTTTTTTTTTAGTTACTGTCAATTTCTGTAGGACTTGTTTACTTTAACAATTCTTAAAGAAGTCCTCTGAAGTGAGTGACTTGATGCATTATAAGACCTGCTCTCTGCCTGAAGCTTTTAGAACAATGACTACACTTGTACGGCTTCTCCCCTGTATGAATTCTTAAATGAATAACAAGACTTGGTCTCTGTCTAAAGCTTTTCCCACAATAATTACATTTAAAAGGTCTTTCTTCGGTGTGAGTTCTCTGGTGCAAAGTCAGAGCTGTCAGCCTACTGAAACTCTTCCCACAATTAGGACACCTATGAGGTTTTTCACCCGAATGAGTTTTCAGATGTCTTTTAAGACTTGATCCATGACAAAAGCTTTTCCCACACTCAAGGCATTTATATGTTTCTTCTTCAGAATGGGTTCTCTGGTGCCCTATGAGGTGTGACCGCCGAGTGAATCGCTTTTTACACACAGTGCATTCATAGGGTCTCTCCCCTGTATGGAGTCGCTGGTGTCTGTAAAGGTCTGAACTACGAAGGAATCTTTTCCCACATTCCGGGCACTTATGAGGTTCCTCTCCTGAATGAATTCTCTGGTGCCCTGTCAGCTGGGACTTCCGAGCAAAACATTTCCCACACTGGGAACATCGGTGAGGTTTGTCTCCTGGACTCTTTTTCTTCTGAGGCCTGGGGTTGAGAGGTTCTTCCAAGCTGGAGCTCTCAGGTTTCTCTCCTGCAGACGGGTTCTGCTGATCTACCAGCTTTGTTAAATCTGTCTGTAAATCCTCTGGGGGTGGTTCCCATTGATTTTCTAACTGTACATAGTCTTTTTGCAAAATAGGACCATGAAGAGCATTCCCCTCTAAAGTAACAATAAATGGATACATATCCTCCAGTTTTTTCTGTTTTTCTGAAGTATCTTCTTCATTTTCTATCCCAATCTCAAACCCTGAGAGGAGAAACAGAATGCAGATGTCACTGTGTCCCGCAGAGAAAAGAACATGAGGGAAAATGAAAAGTTCTATTAAGCCACCGGCAGGAGTACAGAAATTCCTAAGTTGAATTCAAAACACTTTACCCTGATTAAGGTTGGTTTTTTGTTTTCTTTCTTCTCTGGGATCAATGAACAATTACTTACCTAACTTGGAATCGAGTAATTGTTTAATTTCTTTGGACTCTTGTAGTTCCTTCACCCATGCCTCTTCTCTAGGCTCCAATGGAAAGCTCACATCAAGTTTTGGTATCGGATATCCTGGCCATAAGAAAGATAAGAAGCATAATATTCTGGGTCATACAAGATGTTTCCAGAGTTCAGGCTGCTATCTTGGACATATGACCACTCAATATCTACTTCCTCCTCAATTACTATTATTTCACCTGGAATCTCTTACAAGAGTCCTTTTTTTTTTCAAAGATAAGAACAAAACAAAAATGAGAGAACATCCTTTTGTGCCCAGTTTAAGGCTATTCTCTTCTAATCAGTGGAAGAGGAATGAATCAATTTTGTGCTGAAATCAATACACTAAATTGCTACTGTATCTATTTTGACAATAGATTTATCTAGGTTAGAGCCAAAATATGAAGTAAATCTTCATAAAGTTTTGGCATATTAAAACTGAGAAATGCTGCTATCGAGTACTATGTGAAGAGAGAAAGGTAAAGCTAGAAGTCATGAAAGTGCTTACTGGGATAATTTCCGTTGAGATTTTCAACTTATAATGGAAACTGAGTAGGTTGGCAACCCACAAAAGCAGTCTTTGTTTCAGCCAAAGTCTAGAAGTGGATTCTCTTGAAATTAACCCAAATCACCATCAAAGAGTGTTTCTTGGTCAAGCGAAGACCAAGCAGAAGTGTCTACACTCAGTGTCCATCCCCCCCACCCCCGCACTCTCCTCACTGAGAGCTGCTCTGGCTCACACTCTCTTTGCACACCTCTTCCTTGTCTTCCTCCTCAGCTCTGGCCAAGTTAACCTGTTTGCAATAAAGTGTGGGTTGGAAGTGGCTCATTTGAGATTGAAATGCAGCATTAAGTTTAAATATTAGCATTATTAAAATGATATTAGCAAGTTAATTTAATGAAAACTTAAAATTTAAAATTTAAAATTTAAAACATTCTAGGGGGGAGGGTACAGCTCAGTGGTAGAGTGCTTAGCATATACGAGGTCAACAGTTCAATCTCTAGTACCTCCATTAAATAAAAATAATAATAATAAATAAACCTAATTACTCCCCTCCCCAAAACAACCGCCCCCCCCCAAAAAAACAAATAAAACATTCTATCAAAACATGGGAAGTGGACTAAAATACCTTACTTTATATTTTCACGGGAAAAAAAAGACCTTTTAAGATTAAGAAACAAAAATGCATTTCGAGAACCTGAAAAATATGTATTTATATGTATGTAATATGTATAACTGAACCGCTTTGCTGTATACCTTAAACTAACATTGTAAATCGACTACACTTCAATAAAAAACAGGAATTTTAAAAAGATGTATTTCAAATCACGTTCTGTTTAAATTCACTATTTTCCTTTTGTTTGGGTTTCAAAACTAAGAACAGGATGAGAGTGTAATGAGACCAAGATCAAATAAAACTGGAAGTCATGGATCCAAGGAAAGCTGCCATTGAGTAAAAGTGGGAGCAAGCTGAAACTTGAAATAAGCAGAGAGCAGCAAAGGCCTAGGTGTGAAATACTGATTTATAATCTAAATGCAGGGAGGCAGACTTCTAGCATGATACCACGGGGACCTCTGCAGATCTATTTCCCAGTGAAACTGGTGAAAATTATTAAAAATAATAAAAGAAACATTTAAAGCCTCTCAAAATGGCCTTTAGGGCATACAGAAAATTAGGAAACGTCTTTTTTTTTTTGGTATCTTTTTCTTTTTGGAGGGGGAGGGAATTATTTATTTATTTTAAAAGAGGCACTGGGGATTGAACCCAGGGCCTCATGCATGCTAGGCATGTGCTCTACCACTGAGCTACACCCTCCCCCAAGAAATATCTATTTTTTAAAATCTGTTAAAATCCACAGAGAACAGCGAGAGTCTTAAGTGTTTAAACCCAAACTGTTCTGTTTAGTCCCCCTCCCAGCTCCACTCGTGACTGCCAGAGTCAAGAGCCTCGGGCACTCTTTCCCGGGCCCCTATTCAGAGGCCTGTCTTCCTGGGAGGGGCAGGACCTCAGGATTTTTCCTCCTACCTTTAGCCACCTATTGTTGAGACAGAAAAGGAGGTGGGCGCTCCTTTTATTTCCCCAGTCTCCACTGGTGGGATGGAGCTCTGCATTGGCTGTGGTATTGCTGAGAATACTAGGGCCCCGATTGTCCCTTTAAAGCAACTGTAGTTTTATAAGGTGACTGTGATTGTAAAGCAGTGGTTTCCAATCCTGCAGGGGCAAGCCAAGAAGGCCTGAGGCTCAGGTCTAGTGCTCAGCTCCTAAAGTGGCAATGCCACTCAGAGATAAGCACACCATTGTCCCCATCTCCATTTTCAGAGCAGTGTATCAGTGATTTGGCCTGGGAGGAGAAGCAGGCCTTAAAAGAGGTAGCTCCAAGTTTTCTCAAAGAAACTGATTTCATTTCCAATAGAGAGAGTTCAAGCCTGAGGGTACTCTCAAACAGAGTGGGGGCTGTAATGAAAGGCAATTGGAAAGAATGATGGATTTACTGAATATACACACTAAACTGTAGGCTGGCTAGTTTGCAGACGAGAACTAGGAAAGAGACAGCTGGGAGGAGCCCTCCTGGGATCAGAACAAATCTGAAAAACTGACCTCAGGAACTAGCCTATCTAAGGGGACTGAATTTGACTGAATTAGTCTGCAGAGCAAATTCTGCTCCAGGGCATTGTTGAAAACAATAGAGCAATTAGCTGCAATTAATAGCTGGCTCTGATCAGGGAAAGTGGTAACCAAAGAAAGCCCTGAAAAAACTACTGTCATTCCAGGGTGACTGTGTGCACAGCCAAGGCTGTGCTCCATAAGGGCAATGTCAAATGCTTAACACTGCAGGGTGGGCTAGAGTTCATTAAAATAATCCAGCCACTCACCAAACAAATCAGCAAATAACAATAACAAGCTCTGGGGAGGGGGGAGGAGGACACAGAGTTGCTACAATATATTATCATTTTTAGATAATATATTGAGATAATATATTGAGATGATAAAATGAGACATACATGTGGACAGGAAAGTATGACCCCTACACTGGAAAAAAAAAAAGGAGCAGGCAACAGAATCTGCCTATGAGAGTGACTAGATATCAAATTTAACAAAGACTTCAAAGTAACCATTATGAATATGTACCAAGGACTAAAGGAAATCATGATTCAAGAAGTAAATTATGATGACATCATATAACATCAAATAGATAATATCAATAAATAGAAATTATAAAAAAGAATTGAAACTGAGTCCCCTTAAAACTGAGTTTCTCTGCTGAATTTATGATTAACTTTTCTATCTAAAACTTTTTTCCCTTTCTTGTCCCACACCTGTTCCCTTCGGGATTGAGGAGTACTAATGAAAAGGGGTGGTTGAAACTGAGCAGGACCCTCTCTGCCCTCTGTTTCTTGGTTGTAGAAAAAGGCTTTGGCCTCCTAGTCCTTCCTGGAGTTCCAAAGAGCAGATTCAAGCAGCTACTAGTTAGGGAAGTGAGGAAATGCAGAAACAAAGGAACAGCAGTCAAGAAATAATACTTCAGTGATAAGACAGTGCTCTCCTTCCTCCTCAGTGGACATACATAACAATCTGACATGCATCTGTGAGCTGTTCGGCAGGAACTAAGGCCCCCACCCAGGTGGAGGATGGTAACTATATGCTGAGACCCCAGACTGGTCAGAAGCAGAAAGTTGATGACTGAGATTCCTGAAACACCACCCTGTTACATTACCACCAATCAATCAGAAGAAAGTCATACACTTTGCATCCCTCACTCCAAATGTTGCATTTAAAAACTCTTCCCTAAAAGCCATCAGAGAATTTGGGTCTTTTGAGCTCGAGCTGCACATTCTCCTTTCTTGTCCCTGCAATAAACCTTTGTCCACTTCGAACTCTGATGTTTCAGTTTGTTTCATCTCACTGTGCACGGGCCACACAAACTTAGGTCCATGAACAGAATCAGGTGGGAATTCTGGAATTGAAAAGCACAATGAGTGGAATGAAAAATTCACTAGAATGGCTCAAGAGTAGATTTGAACTGTTAGAAGAATTAGGAACTTGAGGACAGATCAAGAGAGATTATGCTATCAAAAGAACAGAGAGGGAAAAAAGAATGAAGAAACAGAGAGTCTCGGAGAAAAGATATATCATGAGAAAACCAGGAGAGGAGTGAGAGAAAGGAGCAGAAAAAATATTTGAAAAAATAATGGAAGTCCCCAAACATATTAAAAATGTCAATATACACATCTAGGAAGCTCAATGAACTCTGTGCACAATAAGTACAAAGAGATCTATAAACAGACATTATCAGAGTAAAAATCTTTAAAGCCAAATAAAAATAAGAAATCTTGAAAAACAGCAAGTGAAAAATGACTTGCCATCTACAAGGGAACCTTAACAAGATGAAAAGCTGGAAACAACAGAAGCCAGAAGACAGTGGGATAACATAGGCAAAGTGTTCAAAGAAAAATAAAAACTGTCAAGAATCTTATATCCAGAAATGCTATCTTTCAAAAATGACTATGAAATAACATTTCTGATAAACAGAAACTGAGAAAATTCATTGGTAGCAGACTTGCCTAACAAGAAATGCTAAAGGAAGTTCCTCAGTCTGAAAGCACATGATCTCAAACAGTACTTTGAATCCACATGGAAAAACAAAGGACACAAGTAAGGGTAATTATTTCATTATAAAAGACAGTATAAATACAAATTTCTTTTTCTTTTCTTAAAAGATTTTAAAAGCAATTATATAAAACAATATGTACATAGTACAGTGTTGGGTATATAACATATAGAAATATAATACATTTGCCAGTAACAGCACAAATGAAGTGGGCAGGAGCACAGCTGTATTGGGCTAAAGAAATGACTGCAGTCAGTAATTTGAATCCTCAGGAAAAATGAAGAAAATAAGAAGAAATAATATTAATATAACAAAAGCTATAACATATACTTGTTTTCCTTCTCTCAGCTCCTTTAAAAGTCTTAAAATTATATAAAGCAATAGCCATAACAATGTATTGTTGAGCTTGTAACATTTTTGATATAATATGTATGCTAGTAATACCCAAAAAGGGCAAAAAGGGA